AACCAGCCAGCCCCCAAAATTAACCATTTTAAGACTCTTGAGTAACTTAGAAACACCCTAAGTTGGGTGTAAACCAACGTAGAATCATGGACCAGCTGGTTTAAACAGGGAGTAGCTTAGACAAATCTCGCTTTGTTCCTTTTTTTTTTTTTTTTGACCGGTAAGGGGATCACAACCCTCGGCAGGGTGTGGTCTGCACCACGCTCATCCCTATATAGGATCTGAACCCACGGCCTTGGCTCCCAGCGCCGCACTCTCCTGAGTGAGCCACAGGGCCGGCCCAAATCCCGCCTTGTTCTGTCACACTTCCTTGCCTAGCTTAAAAGAATGATGACAGCGAAGTCTACTTCTAGTTGAAAGTAATAAGTATTATTTTGCCATTGTTCAGATCTCAATCTTTTGATATTCAATTTTATTTGAAATGAGATTTCTAATACTTAATAGAGCTCTGATTTATGGTGGTAGAAATTGTGGAAAGAATTAGGGGTTCTTGACAGCACAGATAAAGGCAAATTCACTGTATCTTTATTAAAAAGAAAAAAAGACTCCATTTTGTGTTATAAGGAAGAAGAAGGAGAAAGAAAATGTAAGAAAAGGGTAGCTTTAAAAGTAGAAATTCAGGGCCGGCCCGGTGGCGCACTGCTACAGTGCGCCGCTTGGGAGCGCGGCGGCGCTCCCGCCGAGGGTTCGGATCCCACATACAGACCGGTTCCCGCTCACTGGCTGAGCGAGGTGCGGGTGCGACACCGAGGGTTGCGATCACGTTGCCGGTCCCGGTCCGGTACGGGCGCGACACTGAGGGTTGCGATCCGTTGTCGGACACGAAAAAAGACAAAAAAAGGAAGAAAAAAAAAAAAAAAAAGTAGAAATACAAGGAAATAGAAAAAAAGTTAAAAAGAACATAATTCTAAACCTCAAAATATGTAGCAAGCAGAACATGTGCCATCTCATATAAAAGGACTAAACTGTTACCAGATACTGCTTGCTTGTTCAGAGGTATACTAATGGGACTAACAAACGACCAATCCTTATCTATTGAGTTTGTCCTAAAATACAGATCTAGTGTGGCTTGGATCTTCCTAGAAAGTTACTAAAAGCCAACATTTTCCCTGTTTAGCCCCTGATATATGAAACTCAAGGGACCTGAGCCAGAAATTCTCCATCACCCCTAGCCTGCTCCTCTCAGTCTTCCCCTGACAAGTAAATGACAACTTCATCCCAGTTGCTCAGTATAACACCCTGACCCTACATCTTACCCATCCTGAATCAATCCTATTGTCTCCACTTCAAAATATATTAGCAATCTGATAATTTCTAGAACCATGGTCCAGGCACTGTTCCCTTTCACCTGAGTTATTGCAACAGGTCTCCCTACTCCTGCCCTTATCTACCTACATTCTGGTTTTAGCACAACAGCCAGTATGATTCTACTGAATCAGATGAGACTTCTCCTCAAAACCCTTCAGTGGGTCCCCTTCTCAAAGTAAAAGCCAAAGTTTTTTTTTTCGTGTCCGGCAACGGGATCGCAACCCTCGGTGCTGTGCCCACACCTCGCTCAGCCAGTGAGCGGGAACCGGTCTGTATGTGGGATCCAAACCCTCGGCGGGGGCGCTGCTGCGCTCTCAAGCGGCGCACTGTAGCAGTGCGCCACCGGGCCGGCCCAAAGCCAAAGTCTTTAATGTCTCTGAGGCCTCAGTTTATGTCTCTGCTCTCACCTCCAGCTTCCCTTCCCTTCCCTCAGCTCTAAGCCACCCTGGTCTGTATATTCCTTGAATATTCCATGTTTACTCCCATCTCAGGGGCTTGGTACTTGCTATTTCCTTAGCCTGGGATGCTCTTGCTATGAAAATACCTTCATAGCTTTCTCTCTCTCACTTTTTTTTGGGGCGGGGGAGGGGACAGGGTGGGCAGGAGGTAGCTGGCCAGTGCAGGGATCTGAACCCTTAGACCTTGGTGTTATCACACTGCACTCTAACCAACTGAGCCACCCAGACAGCCTCTCTCTCACTTCTGTGAGGTTGTTTTTTTTTTTTTTTTTTTTTTAAAAGATGACCGGTAAGGGGATCTCAACCCTTGGCTTGGTGTTGTCAGCACCACGCTCAGCCAGTGAGCAAACCGGCCATCCCTATATGGGATCCGAACCCGTGGCCTTGGTGTTATCAGCACCGCACTCTACCAAGTGAGCCACGGGCCGGCCCCTGTGAGGTTTTTACTAAAATAAAATATCTGGCCTGTTAGCTCAGTTGGTTAGACCGTGACGTTGTAACATCAGGATTTCCATACTGGCCAGCTACCAAAATAAATTAAATTAATTAATTAATTAAATAAATAAATAAATAAATAAATAAATAAATAAATAAATAAAATATATATATATCTGTACCCCATAAATCAGTCAATATGTCGTAAATAAAATATTTGATAATGTATTTAAATATGTACAGTCTTGGGGCTGGCCCGGTGGCACACTGCTACAGTGCGCCGCTTGGGAAGCGCGGTGGCGCTCCCGCCGAGGG